ATTTTTCTTGAACTCCTCATACATCATCGAGGATACATCTCCTGAAGCCGCTAGTCCCTCCAATTCCCGCACAGACTGAACGCTGAGAAGAGAAAAGGGGTGAACAATATAAAGGCCGGGCAATTCATAGATGTTATGTCTCTTATTCGTGTTGTAAAGGGCCAGAGCCACCAAGTCCTTGTCGCTCATCAGAACTTTGTCCTGGCACAGTTTCAGAACACAGCGCACAGCGTCCCGGAAGGGGGTATTATTGATGCGGTTTCCTGTCACTTCAGAGTCCGTGCCTTTTTCATTTCCCGTCGCCATGCCCGCCGGTATTCTCCTCTCCACGCCCTCGCCGCCCACGTCTGACGAAAAAAAAACATCTGTCGACTGTTTTTGCATTGTGGCGTTCCTCCCTTTGGAGCAGCCCGAGGTGGCGACTGAGTTCAGCATTGCGGGAGTGGAATCTTCCCCGGAAGTGTTGTCGGCACCTATCCGGCTGATTTCGCCAGGGTCACTGGAACAACTTCTCCCCTGAAACATGCTGAGCTGGCAGTCAATAAGGCACAGCACGGCGTCGCGTCTCTGCTGGTGCACTGTGGCCTGCTGCAAAGTGTCCTGATCCGTTGCCTCGTCCAATGCCCCCATGCCAACAGCTGCCTCCAACCATTCGGAGTATTCGGACATCCTCTCTTTTATTTGGCATGCAAATACAAAAAAAGCCTCCTGTTCGTGAATACCTTTACTGTGTGCGCGTCTGCTTCCTCGGAAGAGACACACCAAAATAATAATAGTAATAAAGAAAAGTATTAGAAATGCAAAAACAAATAAAAATTCGATGACAATTGAAGAAATAAAAGAGAGCGACGCCTAATCCATGAGGTGCCATTCAAAGGCCACCCCCCAAAGAAAAGGGATGGAAGAAGTCAGGATGCCATGGAGTAAAGGATTAAAAAAAAAAACACAACACGTAGCAAAACACAACTAAAAAAAATGGATACATATAAAAATACATACAAAAAAGCATAGAAAGATACATCGGTGTGCGGCAGGGAGGCTTTAGTTTAGCGCTCAAACTTTTTTTTCTTTACATAACGTCGCCGGTTCCCTATTTTCTAAATGCTTAAAGTAAGCCATATACGTTTCTTCCCTACGCGCCCCCCTCATCGACATGGGTCGCTTCAAAAAAAAAAAAAAAAAAAGAAGATTCATGCAAAAATAAACTTTGAGTTGCTCCACAAACACTCACGACGGGCGCTTGGCAGCCGCAAACACGGCGTCACGCTCCGCGACCCATCGCTCGTACTCCTCCGGGCTCAAATGAGAAAGCGGGTTCCGCAGTGGTTTGGAGGGTATCCCCAGTTTCTTCGCTCCGATCAGAGCCTTGACACGCCTGCCGGATTTTTTGTCTGGTTCGCTCTTGTCATTCCCGGCGCGACGATCTTTTGCTTCTATTTCACCGTGCCACCCATCTGTCCCACGTGCTTCAATCAATTCTGTCAGTTGCTGACGTCGGATATGTTGATACTCCTCAGCAAGGTAGTCCGCGCCAGCCTCAGGTAACAACAGAGGCGGAATCTCACTGACATACAGCGGGTCACGGGCATGCTGAGTGTAGTTGGTGGCCCAGTCCTCTACTATCCGCTGGTACTCCGCCAAAATTGAGGCATCCTCCAAGAGGGCATCCGTGCAATCCACACGGCGACGAAGTCTTTGCAGCCGTTCACGCTTTTGCTCCTCAGCCACAGCGTTAAGACCATCAATGTTACGTTGCATGCGGCGCATTGTTAAAGTTGCCTCCCTCACACTTGGCATGACAAAACCGCGAGAAATCGACGCGAAGTTATCATCGCGCGTGTGTTCGTTCGAAACACTTGGAGCATCCCAGTAATTTGTCTCCATCGGTGGGTTTTCCACCGACGATTTGCGATGTGTCGGCAATTCCTCTACTGCACCGCTCTCTAAATTTCCAAGCTGGCCATAACCATCAACAAACAGCGGTGCGTTCTCTTCCGCTATAAAAGAAGCCAGAGGAGAACCATCTTCTCCTCCCGTCTTGTCGGTTTCCTTCTCACCATTTTTATCGCTTGGCCTACGAGGCGGAATTCCATTGACCGATGCCTCCGTTTTTTTCAATTCATGCATCCCTGACACACCACGTAGACGTTCCATTAAATCATTTCCTTT